GTGTGTGTGTGTGTGTGTGTGTGTGTGTGTGTGTGTGTGTGTGTGTGTGTGTGTGTGTGTGAGTGAGTTTCCATTTTTGACCGATGTAACTGCCACGCGTAATGTTAAGCTGTACCGATATTTCATCACCTATTGCAGGTGTGTATGCTATTAATTTTATTCGTTCGACATAAAATAATAATAATATACATATACATATATATATTTATACTGATGACAATACGATCATACACGATTCGTCGGTTTTTGAAGTACGAGATATCTGATAATTAGAGATTTGATATTTATTATGAGTTTTCACAAAACTATATTATGGTCGTATCCGTACAGTTTGAAATGTCTAAACTAGCAGATTAGGTGTGGAGTTAAATAATGTTGCACTTGATAAAATATTAAGCTTAAAATAAATAAATAATAATAATGTATGATCTATTATTGTTTCAAATTATTTTTTAATCGCTTCTATAATATTAATAATAATAATAATAATAATATAACATGTTGACCCTTGCCTAAATTATATAATTCACTTTAATTTTTATTAACAAAAACAGTCGTTAACAATGATAATAATGCTTTTTTTTTTTTAAATTAAATTACTTTTATATTTAATTAAAAACTTTTTTTAAATTTTGTGAGTAATATAATTACACATTTCGGTTCTCATTATTTTGTTCAAATACATTCAAAACTATTTTTTTTACAACAATGATGTATTACTTGTATTGATTATTTTTGATGGTTCACATTGACCACATAACAATGAACAGCTAGTGGTAAGTACTCTATGCCCCAAAGCCCCATATTATTGAATAATTACAATAATTATCAAATAATAATCAATGTGGAAATGTATTTAAGTACGCGAAATATAATGTTTATACGTTTTGGAAATAATATAAACTTGAACGTCTTCGCAAACGGCAGCTTTTAGATATTATTATTTATTTTAAATGGGGTTACTTTAAGTGAAATTGTTTCCTAAAATGTTGACTATTAATAATTTCCAATCGCTTATAGTTGGCCACGTATTATAAATGTATGATATTTATATATCTAGGCATATATTAGGGCATTTTCGGCAGCTCGTATATTGCACGCATGGACATCAATACCTCCTATAATTGTACTGTAATATTTTGCAAATAGAACAATCAATTATACATAAATTAACCACAACAAGATTACATACCAAAAACGTGTAGGCTTCTATAGCAATGTTACTAGTACAGTCGTACCTATCTATGTATTATACCATTGAAATTTATATGCGTTATTTGGAAAGTCAAAACTACAACCCCAAGTCTACTATATGATACAAGCAATTTAAAAAAAACGGACACGTTTGCCGTTATAAAATATAACTTGTAAATGATTTCGAAAAAAATATTATGATGTTTTATTTACTTGAAACCTTTACTAGTTTTCTAATCGGCCTTCTTCCTTTTTATTACACTATTTTATTATCTACTTATATTTGCAGTTTATTATGTTATTAGTAATTCATACACTATTATAAAGTCAAGGCCACAAAGTGATAACAATTTTAGTCTTAAACTGAATGTTAAAGTTGAATAAAATCGTTAATTTGGGGAAGGAGTCAAACATAAAAATGTCTATTATTTTTAAAAAACAATCAGAAAAACAACAAAGACATGAACAATTATTTTATGATTATAAATTTAGAAAATGTTCAATAATTTTAATAATTAAGACTTAAACATTTAATAAAAGTTACTCGGAGGGTTTTCTCCTAACAAAAACATACAAATATCAAAAATATATATGAACAATTGTTTTTATATAGATATTTCAATTTCAAATTTTGTCAAAATATTTTTTTGATCTGATTTCAGTGAATTCCAAAAATATTCATAGGGACGTGTATTTTTTTAGCCGTTTACTTAAAATCTTATTAATTTAACACGGTGAAATTTAAAATAATATTTACTGTATGCGATTTTTCTCAATTACCTAGTATTTAACCTACCTACCGTAACTAAAGTAAAATAGAATTACTCATAGCAATATAAATATTATATAATAAGCTATTCTCAGACATATACATTGGCACTTGGAAATCCATTGAGAATTTGTTTTATACATATATAACAATTTATTATCGTACTCAAGTTTGTACACACCCATAATATCCATTACAGTGAATCACTCAATAGGACATTTTTCGCCTCGTATACAGCAGTGCGAGTTCTTGTATTCACAGGTTTCATAAGGGTAGTAGCCTTCGCATCCCCTCGCCAGTCACCACATCGTACAAACAAGTGCCAATTATATTTTTATTTTTCGATTAAAATCACTGTTATTGGTTTATTTATGAGTATTTGTAGAATAATTTGTATTCAGATTTCGTTGTGGAAGTGACAAAAAAAAAAAAAGCGGAAACAATTATATGGAAATGCACCTCTTCAATATGGGGCATTAATAAGAATATAATAATAAAGGAAGTCTATGGTTTTCATGATTATTTATTAAATACGGGTTTTGTACGAATATGACAGTTATTATTAACTGCGGTAGAACAACGCCGCCGATTAAAAATTCATAAAAAAAACAGTTACTGTTTTCTGCAGTCAAATGTTTTATTTGCTCAGTAATTCACTGTAACATTGCATAGCCGGCTACTGAAGTCTGTACGTGATGACGTTGCGTTGCCTTTTAAAGGTATACCTCTGTAATTATTATTTTTTGCAGTTAGTGGATTATATTTGCATGGTTTTCAATGTAAATAAACCGAACACTATATTTATTACCTGATTATTTAATCACTTGTTTAAATATTTATGTTATATTCAAATATTTATGCAACATCTTAATAACGCGGAGAAAAGTTTCACTCCTAAAATTAAATGTAAATTATTTATATATTCATAAATATGTTATTACTAACTTCGTGGCGATTAATGCGTTTTAGTCGAAACGTTTTAATTAATGTAAATAAAATACGTGTTTTCTACGCTTTCATCAATTTAAGTACTTAAAAAATAAGTACTAGCCCGGTCCTGATAGAAAATTAATGTATAAGAACGATTAAAATATTATGCATAAACATAATTAATTAATCTTCAAACCATTATGATCAAGTCAGATCCAAACAACAAATTCGATATTTGCTATTCTAAAAGCAGCAAGGAATACCTAACTTTAGGTTTACACTTGTACGATATAAATATATATTTTTTATTGTTGTTCAAGCATCGATTTTGAGGTTATTAGAGTACAGCTAACAAATAATTATACAGAGTTTTACTATTTATGTATAAAGAGTGATATTTACATTTGCACAATTCAAGTTTACAGTATTATATAATATTATAATAATTGTTTTTTTTTTTTTTTATGACATTAAATTCTATAATAATACATTTAATTCATATAAAGTCTTATATCATTAATTCTCAGTTATCACACATCATGATAACAATATAAAATATTATACTATGACACTGTCCGCTCGATACCGTCTTTTAATTTTCACAGGCATTTTATTCGCAGTTCCTGTGAGTCGTGTTTATTAGATGATATAACGATCTTGTCCGTCATCATATAATATTATGTCCTACTCCGAATCGTCCAACATTTTACATTCCATTGGAACGGGCCCAAAATATCACGTTTTTTCTTCGTGTCAAATTCCAGGCTCCCTGAATCGTGTACAACACCGTCTATATATCTACCGCAGACTAACAGCGAGAACTCACTTCTCCAAAAGGTGAAAAAAAAATGGAAAATGTACTCAAACTGAACCGAAACCGCTGACCCCACGAATTTTCGTATTTCTTCTTGGGTTTTTCTTCTTCAGATAGTATATAGGTACATATATATATATATAATATATAAGTAATATACCATTCGAAATAATGCCACGTGCGGTGGCGGTGTCCGTGTTACGACCCCGCACTGGACCGCACGTCGCTACCGCAGAGTCCGTGACCCGAATACGGACTAGGGTTCTTGACGAAGGCAGACTGAGGTTGTTTTTATTTTTACCCCTCTCACCCCCTCTTCCAAGCCCACAGTCAATCCTGGTCCTCGTCCAACGGTCAGACCAAAAACCACTCGTCCGCCTGACCCCACACGGGCCACTGTCGTCTCGGAGCGAGTTTCGTGCTGCGTACGCCCGACATAAGTCCTCCTGCATACACACACGCGGGTACGGACTTGAACGCAGTGATGTATAAACGAGTGGTGTATGTTAGTGTTTTTCTGCGTCCCAAGCAAGAGCGGCGTGGGGGCCAACGGATCTGGTGACGACGACGACGACGATTGTGACGACGACTACGACGGAAGGCAACAATTTCGTATTCCGACCGCAACGATTTGCTTTGGAACCGAGCACGACGACAATGGCCACAAATAAACCTACTGCGGGATGCCCTGCCTGCGCACAGCACACCCCCTCCCCTAATTCACCACAGTGCGCGATATATTATACTTACATCCCCCTCGTATTGTATATAGGGTGATTCCCAAGCATGCTCGCCCCGTTTTTTTTATAAGTAGATGTAGTGTTATTTAAAATCTGATCTTTGGAATTTTTAAAAATATAGACACTAGTATAAAATGCTTGATTTTTTTTTGCGATAATTTTGATTAGTGTCCTGTGGATTAACAAACTTTTGTTTTTAAAATTGTAGTACTTTATATAAATCCATCGATAGTTATAAATTTTAAAAATGGTCCAACAATAAATAGTAGATCCAATTTATATTACTGGTATCGTATATTTTAATAAACCCATTTATAAAGACCACTTACTATCTTTATGAAAATCTTAATAGTTGAAACGCTACTATAGTTTGAATATTTTTGAATCGGGCATAGCGATTTTCAAAAATATCGTTATGAAATGAAAAATGAGGAAATCCACGCTCAATGAATCACACTGTACATTTCTTTACAGAAACCCACTCACGTGACAACTCTGTCCACCACTAGAACACTCATAATATTATATTATTATCTAATGGCATTTGTTTTTTTTCGTCCAGAAACTTTGCGATCGAAACGCATTGGCCATTGCACAGATTAGCTCTGGAATGTTATGAAAGAATGATAATAATATACATCAGCGATGTCTGACTGCGCATGTATTTTCCAGTTTCCACACACACGCCGAA